GGAAATGAGAGATTTTGTAGTCTTTTCTCGTTTGTAATTTTTTTTTCTAAATCCGATTTTTTTTATACCTACTTTTAAAAAAATTGCAAAATTTGCCGCCCCCCCCCCCTAGATTTGCCGCCATAGGCCGCGGCCCCTTGTAGCCACCCCCTTAATCCGGCCCTGGGAAAGTTAATGGCTTACATCGATGGCTAAAGTGCGAGATCATGTATCATGACGTTGTAGATTTCCAGCGATACTTTATTTATTCCTTGGAATACGTCAACGTAATTTCTTGAAAACTTCCTTGAATTTTTCTCTTAGTGAGAATACTCAGAATTTTCGAGCTATAAAGTTGACCTGTTCTGAGTGTTCCTTTCCGAAAATGTTAACTAGGAGCGGAGATTCTGAAACACCGCAATACAGACATATTGTGTTTCACTTTAGCCATCGATATGCTGTTCCTGAGAAGCTCAAATTGTTGTTCAAATCACAAAATGTAGTCTAACTGAACCTCGATGTCCACATTCTCACCTCTAAGGTACTTTTACTCCGCATTCCACTTTGGTCTCTCCCTCTTCAGTCGTCAAACACAAAATTTCGACAATCGGTCCGCGGGCTTTTTGAAAAAAATCTCTTATTTTTAAGAAAAAATCATTTGAACAATCTATCGTCGTATTTTTCTAGTTAACATTGTAAACACAAATTAAAAATCTATAAATTATATATGCATTAGTCGCTTTTACAGCGCACTAAGGAGCTCTGCAACACCGAACCGCCACTAAAATCTGTCGAGGTTAGAGATTTTCCGGAGCTGGCATCTCCATCCTTTTTGAACGCCATGCATCCAAGTTTCATCTGAACGCCCCTTTCGACGCCTGCCAGGAGAACCCTGTTTCAATACCTTTTTCGGCAACCTGGTATCAACCATTCTCCGCACATACCAACCGTTCATTATATCGTGCATCGCTGTCTCTTCAATGCCCACGATACCTCGAGCACGATTTCTGATAGGTGCTCTTCACGTGAAATTCTCTTAAAATACATCATTCAAATTATTTGGAGGACGAAGCGGCAAGTGTACAGCGGCCGTATATAATGCTTTGTTGGGGAAAAACACCGTACGAACATTCAAATGTTGGCAAATTTCCACTCGGAAAATATTAATTTTTGAGGAATGTTTTGAATACTCTCCCTTAAAATTTTCAGACACGATAAAATTACGAACCAAATTCTCTGAAAAATCGGATCAAATATATTGACAAAAATGTCTCGAAAATTCGTGATTCGTCAAAGGAAATTCAACAACGTTTGAAGGATCATACTGCGTTTTGCCCTAGCACGGCAGTATATACTGCCATGCTAAGGAAGAACGCTGTATAAACCTTTGAGAGTTGTCGAATAACCCCAGACAAAACATGTATTTTTGAGAAAGATTATGCGTATTGTTCCTCGAAATTTTTAGACATTTTAGACAAAATTGCGAGCAAAATTGTCTGAAAAATTGAAGAAAAACATTCAATATTCTCCCAATAAATTAGATCATTATTGAAGGAAATGTGGCAACGTCTGAAGGTTCTTACGGTGTTCTTCCTCAGCACGGCGGTATAGTTTTATAGACACAGCAACTACGCGTGCCCTTTATCCCTTGTCGCAAGCATTTACTCAACCTTATCTCGGGCGGGGCTTAGACACAGGTCCAATAAGCGTTCTTCGCAGGTGCATCACACAAACAGCACGCGCCGCGCGCCGCGCCGTAAAACACCATAAAACACCGTTGTTCCTCCGAGCGAGCAAGTGAGAGAACACTTAGTCTCCTTTCATCCCGTCTTCCGGAGGTCCGTCCGCTCCATTAGCACATTCTGTTTGTCTCTGCGTTTTCAGCCGCGGTGGATGTCGTCATTTCCCGCCAGAAAGCGCCCCGAAAACTTGAGCGATGAGCATTGCCCGAGATAAACCGACGTTCCCACTACATTGGAAAGCGCGAGAGTTCCTCTTTTTTGATGCGTCAAAGATTTCACAAAAATTTCTTACAATTGCTTTGGGGCGTGCTAAATGAGCTAAATTCGCAATATTGAGTCCTCATTTTTTTCTGATTTGGGAAATTTTAGAAAAATAAATTTAAAAGCGAGAAAATCTGCCCTGTGACGTTATCAGGCGGCATCTCCCATTTAAACACATGTATTTTGGCAGATTAGGGAATTTTGTAATACCTCGTCCACAGCTTGTCTGGTATGGGCGTGGGTGGGCAAAGGATGTCCTATGATAGGTTGTCTAAGAAAGTTCTAGGCCAAATCGTGGATTGATAGAATAAGGCAAGAAATGAGGAAATAAGATTTGCCGGAGGCGTTGGCCGGAGGAGCTCTAGCTCTGGCAGGATCGCTGTTAGTGGCGATTGGGTGTAGCAGAGCGCACGGAAGCGCTATAAGAGCGGCATGTTAGTAGTGGTAGAAACTAAGGATACACTCATGCTGGGTTTACTTATTATCAGTAGTTTCTTCTTGAAAATGAAATTCAGGCACAGTTTCAGATACCTGCCAATCATCCATTTCCTACACCGCAGGTAACTAACAATTGCCGATAATTTTCAACCTATGAGCACAAAATAGAGCAATATAGAAATTTAGAGGTGAAGGATGATTAGAATACAGAGTAGTGATTATTAGCTTGTAATGGACAGAGACTTATTCTTCTTCTTGAATCCGTGGGGCCAACTAGCAAACTTCCGCATGCGCGCCTTGGTAAAAATTGGCGGTAAAAATCTGTGTTCCAAAATACCATAGACCTACAGCCGGCTGTAAGATTTCCAATAGCTTCTATCGCCGGCTACACAATTTCTTAAAGCCTTTCATAGCCGACGGCGATAAAGCAACAGCCAGGCGATAAAGTGTATGCTAAACGTTACTAATTACGGATGCTAGGACTTAGTGAGTTTTTGGAATACTGCTCTCTTTTTGGACCGTAGTATCTTGATTTATTTTGCGAGGAAAGCTCCGTACTTTTGATGGATGCCTGCCATCACTAATAAATTAGAGCGCCTTCCGTTTCGTATGATACTGAGCAACACTCTGGTGTGAAATATTTGCTTCAAGCGTCGCGGCAGGCGGGCAGCCAGCGCGGAAAACGCATTGGCGCCTACAAACCTAACAGGGATACTTCACGCGTTGCACAATGCGTGAAGTATCCCTGTTAGGTTTGTAGGCGCCAGTGCGTCACCGCTCCGCTTTGTGTCAGGCTCTAATATTTAATCTGGCGGAGTCAGCGGTATTCAACTCAAGATTTTTAAATGTTTGCACACTCTGTATGGATTATTCTCATTTTAATTGATGAAAAAAAAAATGTATTCGATGAAAATATAATGTGTGTTTTGTAAATATTAAAGTGGCTCCGTATCAAACTTAAAGATTTCCAAAGCACACGAATTTCTACACAATTTCTTATAGCCTTTTATAATCGATGGCGAAAAAGCAACAGCCAGGCGATAAAGTGTAAAGCCCGGCGATAGGAACTATAGCCCGGCTGCATAATTTTTATCGCTTCGTTTAGCCCGGCCGTATGATTTTCTCCGCATTCTACAGCCAGGTATATGATTTTCTGTAGCATTCTTTAGCTGGCTATAAGAATTCCTATGATATTTTGAAACGCAGCTCTGATCGCCAATTTTTACCAGGGAATGAAATCAGTGACTTTGGTTTTAGATTTTGTCCGGATCGGTTACTAAACTAATTGCTCGGCAAAGCGGAAAGTATCACAGGAGATCGAGGGCGCTCTACGCCGAGATCGTGCTCTTGAATGTCTTTACTCATGAAACATTTAACGTTTATCACGCTGATGCTAATTTTTGCAATTTGATGAAGGAACACTCATGTCGCTTGCAAATTACCGGCGACTGTTTATTGCCTGCGACTCTTACAAAAGCTGATCTCTTTGAGGGTTCTTCGGAGAGTAAAACATCTGTTCACATAAAACAACGAAATTGTTGAAACAGGTAACCGAGATTTTCGGCCATAAGGCCCCAACTCCGGTTGAGGTGACGGAATTTGTTGATAGTCATAAACTGAAATTCTTATTTCACGAGACTTCGTTTACCAGAACCAAATTTTTGTGGTTGAACGGTTGAAATTTCGGTTTTTCAGACTGAAAATCTCATACGTCCTTTTCCCGAGGAATCTAACCGTAATGTTCTTTCTTCTATGAATAAATCATTAAAATGAAAGTTCAGGAAATAGCATACTTGTTATCATAGCGAGAAAATCAGCAAGAGGGATTGCTTAGTCCTTTTATTCATCAGTTGATTCGCCCGCAAAAATAAAGTGTGCTCGAACGCCACTCCGTACCCTTCGGTGTAACTTTCCCCGAGTGGCGGAGGCTTTGGTAGTCATCAGTCACCAGTCATCAGTCATCGAACATCAATTTTGAAGCACCGCCCCTTCGCAGCCGCGAGCCTGAGGCGATTTCCGATTAAATGCATGCTCCTCCGGTAATTAACTTTTAATTGAACTACATTCTTGTGCCATAATAAAATACCCAAACAAAAGTTGAAACCCTTCAGTGCCTTCGATCTTATTTTTAACTAAAAAAAGAGCAACATCAGGCGAGCAGGTAGTTTTATACAAACGTGCAATAATCTGCAAGATAAATGACAAAAAACCGAAAATATGCGAAATTTTCACAAAAAATCTGATTTGAAATGCTATGTCAGAGGTTTTGAATACATGGATGGTGATTTGTACCAAACCTCAGATCTTGATTAAGGTGTTCGACAATTTTCGCTAATTTGAGTTTTTGCAAAAGAATACTGCTCCACATTTTTGCGCAAAATAAGTAGTGAATACGTTTAAGAGAACGAAAAAAACCTCATTTTGTGCAAAAACGACGACCAGGCCTTCTTCAGGAAAGTAAAATGTGAAAATGTGTTACTTTGTAAGTAAGCTAAGTGGTTTGATAACTTTACCATCAGTATCTTTATGAGTAAACGTAGAGGGTATTAGTAGGTTTAACGATCAAAAGAGAGTACTTACAGCCATCCAATGCCCCTTGCTGGTCCGAAGAATACACAAATTAATAGGAAGAGAGAAACTTCACATTTTTTAAACGTTTTGGACATGCTGCTGTGAGTCTGATGCCATAAAATTCAGACTAAATGATTACATCAGTCAAAATAATTGTTGAGGCAAACTAAAGATGTTTTACGACACAAATACCTTAACATTTTACAGTGGAGTTTTATCCAAGCTAATGAATAACCTCTGGTACCGGCATGCAGTAAGCAAAAACACAGGTTCAAATATTTTGGTCAACACCAAAGGAGCGCCCCGCATTTAAAGTTTAACACTCGCGACTTTTCAGTTTTTCATAAAAAGAGTGCTTTTTTAGGCTTTGGCATAATTATATGCAACTCGCAAATGATGTCACAAGAACTAAAGAAACACAACGTTCAATAGACACACTACAATCCCGTAATGCCTCAGCACAGGAAATACGAGATTGTTGCACGAACCAAAACAAACGTTATAGGGAATATCAAACTAAAGCAGAATCACGGTGGTTTAAAGTTATCAATAAAAAAATTATATTTTTAAATTTAAAATTGTTTCCCCTAAAAACTCCTAGATTCTGACAATCGTTTTGATTATGCGATAATCGATCCCGATCGCATCACTAAGGAGGAATTAAGTAGGTTGTTCGATAAAGACTGGGACCAAATCTGCCAGACTACCAATAAGTGATGATATCTTGAGCAATGATAAGACCGGTGATGAGGCATCTGATTGTGAGTTTCAGACCAAAATGCATGATATTATCAGTGTTTGATCGCTTGCGACAGTTGTTTGTGTAAAGTAAGATTTTCGCGATGTCAGAATCACGTGACCAACGATACGCAATACAATTGTGTGCTCTGCCTGGGAGAAACGGCCACGGAGACTTATACGCAGATCACAAAAAAGCTCTCGAGGACTCAGTAGTTGTGGGCCGTAGCTCGTGTTTACTGAAAAAAATGTTCTTGAGATATTATTTTGACTTAAAGCGCTAAAAATACTTTGAACGAGTTAAACCTAGAACTTGTAATTTTACACTGAAATAAACCATTTTTTTAAACGAAAGTCCCAGTCATTATTGAACTACCCCGTATATCTGGCTAATCTGCTAGGGATTCAGCTCCAACGACTAAACAAACGACACTTCGCGAAGACGCGAGGTTCTCGGACGGCGGGAAAACAGCGGAGGCGGCGAAGCGGCGGAACACTGACAGACAAGAGACAGACAGACAGACAAACACTCGAGGATCGGAAACCGGCCCTCGAGAACCAGAACTGAGAGACCGCGAACGCTTAGAACTTGCACCATCGCGGTGAAGGATTAAGGATTATCAAACCGCAAACTATTACCTCCGACTTGCTCTCCGCCCCCCGCAGAAGAGCACTGCGCCCCCTTCGCGGCCCGCTCAATCAAATTTCGACCGGCCCCCTCGAAGAGTGCCGAGGAAAAACGCCGTATCAACACTCAAATGGACGTATTTCCACCAAACGGAACTAAGTGCATTAAGACATGAGCCCTGAGACCCATAAGGATGTATGCATAACAGGGCTCACGTCATAATGCACATGATTCCGTTCGACAGGAATACGGCCAATTGCCGGTGGTGGGTCTTGGAGGTTGGCAACATTGTTTTTCCCTCGTTTGAACCTATAATAAAAAATCGATTCCAGGTGAGACAGGTTGCTTCGGTATGATTCGATTGTTTTGCGTGCTTTTAAGTGAGTGAGGCTCCGTGGTGCGACCTGCCCATTATTTTCTCCGATCGAATGGGCCGTTTTTTGCAATGAGAAACAACAATTTTTGGATTTTTCAGAATCAAATTTCAACCGGCCCCCTCGAAGAGAGCCGAGGAAAAACGTCCTATCAACACTCAAATTGACATATTTCTGCCCAACGGAACTATGTGCATTAAGACATGAGCTCTGAGACTCATAAGGATATATGCGTAACAGGGCTCACGTCATAATGCACATATTATAGTTCTGTTTGACAGGAATACATCCAATTGCCGGTGGTGGGTCTTGGAGATTGGCAACATTGTTGTTCCCTCGTTTGAACCCATTATAAAAATCGATTCCAGGTGAGACAGGCTGCCTCGGTATGATTCGATTGTTTTGCCTGCTTTTAAGTGAGTGAGGCTCCGTGTTGCCACCTGCCCATTAAATTCTTCGATCGAATGGACCGCTTTTTGCAATATGAGGAACTACAATTTCTGGATAATATCAGGAACAACTTACGTGCTGATAGTTCCCTTATAGAAATAGGTGATTTTGTAGGAGAACCAGAAATATATAGTAGTTCCTTATTGTAAAATGTAGTTCAAGTGAACTTCAGGTACCCAACCAGGGAACCGCAAGATTTATGATAGGTGTCACTCTCAGTGGTTTTTTAGCGCTGAAGCTGAAAATGACGACAGTCAGTGGCGTGGCGTGAATTGCGATGCATCGATTGTTATCCCATTTAAACCTATGGTAAAGAATCGATTATTAAGGTGTTCGCTGCGAACACCCTCTTTATCGATCCTTTTCCATAGGTGTAAATGGCATAACAATCGATGTATCGCAAGCACGCCACGCCACTGACGACAGTTATTCTTGATCACCCCAAAACTTGCCTATGAAAAATTTAAATTTTCTCTGCGGTGTGGAATTTCTGACTTGCCATATGAACCGACTTACCACATAATATAATGATATATTAGTGTGCTACGGTAATTTAAAGTTTGCCAAAAATTACATTTTTTCAAAAACCAAACGAATTTGAATTTAAAAAAATAAAAAAAAAGGAGCTTTGAGATATGTAGTTAGTTGATGGACGTTTGTCATACTTTATTGACGAGCAAGCAGGGTTGAAGATATAAGGGGCATTTGCATGTGTGAATAGAAGAGGGGCCTAATTTCATCGCAAAATTGTAAGATTTTTTTCGGAGACTGGTAAAGTCATTAATTAATAGGTGCATGTTTCATAATCAAAATATTCACCTTGCCCTTAAATCACGAAGAAAATTCAACAAGAATTTTTGAAAACATGCAACCGCGATTGAGTAATTATATACATTTCCCAACAAAACATTACAATGTTGTGTGCAGAGCAATTTTCAGCCGCTAAGGTTTGAACTCCTTCAAATCTTCGGGTAGATAACTATTGCTACACTCCGGATGTTTTGTAGTGTACCTCACAAAATGAAGGCTCGTTGGCAGAAAAGGTGTTAGTGAAAATTTCAAACCCCAAAATACACTGCGCCTTCCTGGTTTTTATTTCACAAGAAAGATTTACAGGGAGGTATTGTTTTCAACACTTCCAATGGTGAAACACGGCACAATGCAAACATTTTGAAACCAAAACTGAAAAAATTAAATGAACTTCGATTATTAAATATAATTGGAGTAAAGTGTATTAATGAGGCAACGCTGGTGTGAGAAAAATGTGCACCTGATAATACGAGACTGAACTCTTATGATAACCTGCTCTGCATTGATAGGAGCATCGACAAACAACCATTATAGTCCTATAGTTCAAATGGTAAGCAATGTCATATCGATGAATCGTCGTGCATTTAACGTTCAGCAATATATCGGTAACAAGAATTCGGTGCTGTGCTCAGCGATTTTTTTAGCGCCATAACCTTGTTCTTGCATTTTTTCCGACGTTACAGTCAATATCAATGAACTGCATACAGCTGCATTTCATTTTTATCACCGAAAAAGTGAAAGTAGCCTCCTACTTTATGCGCGTGCTTCCTAACGTCAAAAGAAATAATCGATAGGTGTTTGAGAGAAACCACGAGAAAAAAATAGAAATTTGGTGATGTACAAATTTCACTGATCCTGAGGTAGAGCTACTCGAGATTTACGTGGTTTGGGCATGTTTGAGGTAAATTTTTACACGAATGTCGGTAAATATTACGATGTAATTCGATAAGATTTACCAAGCTCTCATTTTAAAGTCACTTCCGGCATGAGGACGGACCTTAATGCCTAAAACGCACATCAAAAGTAAGGACGGTAATGCGGTATCGGTATTTGGTAGCATTATGTTGATGGACTTTTCGCGCATGTTAAGACACGAAACACGCTCAAATTTTCCAACAAATCCTACAAAATTAGGACGAATATCTCCCAAAAATCCCGGACCAGACCGGATTTATGACGGTTTCAAGTTTGCGTTTAAAAAAAAAACTCAACTAAGAAAAACACTATAGAAAATTCTAATTTGCCATACTCAAGGTACTAAAATGCCGGTCAATAACGCAACATTATACACCCTCTGTTGGACAAATAGACATACACAAATTAACATAGGAACTATTTATCTACTCCAACATGAGCCCTGATATTCATAACAGTACATACATGGTAGGGCTCATGACCCAATAGATATAGTTCCTTTTGATTTCACTGTGTTCAAAAAGACTACATTTTGCAATGAGGAGCTACAATTTCTGATCATCCATAAAAACACCTATTTGCATAGGGAAACCAATGGCACATTAATATGTTGTTCCTGAAATGAATCAGAAATAGCAGATTCCTATTACAAATGGACCGCATTCAGCAGGAAGGAACCAAGTCACATCAGGTATTTACATAGAAATGGTTGTGCAAGTTTCAGTGTATTTTCTGCACGGTACAAAGCAAATTCCTCAACATTTTCAAAGGAATCCGCATAAACGCTTTCTTTTTTAAAAAAAAATTGCTAAGTTTGGCAATGGCTGATGTGGCTGATGTTCCTAAACGCGGTTCAATTGTGGTACGCATATGAATTAAACCCACTTGCAACTAATTCTTTGAAACACCAGAGGGGGGGGGAGGAGGGAGAAACAGGCTCCCGTCCAAATCACAAAATTCGATATTTTTTTATTTTTACTTTTTTTATTTTTTTAAAAAAAACTTAAATTTTTTTAAACAATTTTTAAAGTTTTTTAAGTTTTTTTTTAAAATTTTTGTTTTACACAAATCGATTGCCTTTGTAAGCCACGGCCCCTTTCCCTGTCGGAACGGTCACAAGTTTTATAGCCAATTTTTCAGATATCTTTTTTCAGAACCCTGTCTCGCCGACTGTTTTTCTTGAGCCGGCAAGGATTTGATCCATGCGGTAAAAACCACGTGGCGAAAAATGCACCGATAAGGCGGGCAATAGTATTCCACGGAGAAATGATTCCCTCAAATAAAACAAGGTTAAGCCGGGCGATGCTGCAGCGAGCACCTCAGTGACCGAGTACCCGTCTTGATATCGTCACTGTCTTTCCATCTCTGACGGCAGTCGACAAGCGCCGGAAACGCACGAAGTGAAAAAAACTTAAAGTAAAATTATTCAAAACGCCCGAGTTTAGCCGCGAAAAAGGAGTAACAGGCGCCGATAGATAAATGTTACTAGACTTAGAGCTGTTACCAGTGCAATTATTTCAGTGCTTTGGCGGCTATTCGTCCAATTTCCAATCTATCACTTTAATAAACCTTGAAAAAAGTAGATTGTACGAATTTCCGGATAGATACAGTTCCTGTTCAGTTTCCTACTTAGAAAACTCAGTGTTAAGTTGCCAATTCAAGCGTGAGAATCGTCTCACACAGTGTCGAAAATTAAAAGTCACCCCTGAGTAAGATTCGTGCAGTGTTCATACCTTTCATGTAATTCGTCTAAGTTGAATTT